CAGATTCAGTGGAAATATGAGGGAAATTCCTTTATAGTTGCCATGAGCCTATTCATTCGACAATCTTCTCTCGTTTCTGATCCTTTCATCTACCTGAGTGAGTGTGAGAATCAGACCGTGAGATGAGAGTTAGAAAGTTGACAAGCGTCAAAAAAGACTTCTCAGGTGCGAATTCAGGTCAGACGAACCTGGTGATTAGTATTACTTGTTAAGGAACAATCAACAGTGAGTGGTGTTTGTTGGTATTCATCTTCCGGGAATGCATAACCATTTTTTGGGATTGATGACACTCTCCTTGTGTACCATATTTTATTTCTGAATGACAGCAAAACTTCAAACTGTAGAATGGACTCCGCATGAAATGAGCTAGCAAAATGGCGTGATCAATAGAGTGCATATGATCAATAGAGACTTGTTCAAAGGGTTAGCCAGAGACGCATATATCTTATTGCACAACTGGATTTCCCCATTATACAAGAGAAATTGGAAAATTCAGCTGTTAGTTCTGTAACTAAACGCTAGCCATAAGCAACAGATACATTTTTCGGCATATGGATGAGGGTTTGCTCTGGTTCAGTGAATGGAAGAAGTATTATGTGGGTATTGAGCACAGATATTGCTTTGAAACGATACTTTGCTTGTTACAATAATGAAGAATTTAAGTATTGCGGGATCAGATCACCCTCTGATTGCAAATCCTTACTTGATATTTAAGCATGAAATAACTTTTGGATCGATAGTCAACGTTATCCTATTGACTGTTAAGAAACAAAGATCTTGATCGTTGCGCATGAAAAACGGTGATATGTAATGAGTGATATTTAGTTCGAGTGCCTGCGATAGTTGATCGTTCATCTGCAACTTGCAAACATTTTAGCTCGAAAATTCAGAAACATTGGACTGAATTCATAAGATCAAGCATTGAAATAGGCAAATTACATGACCTTTGTAACACTTTCATCGTGAATATTAGCAAATTTCCATACATTTTGGATGTATGACTGATAAAGTATTGGTATGGCTTCATGAAGGCATATTCTTGTTTGAGGTAATCGCTTATCTTCGACAAAAATCATTGAATTGTGGTGGTAACAGTTCTTCAAACTGATCTGATCGCTCACTGATCTCTAGCTGATCAAATCTTTCTACGTATCGAGAGCAAATCAGCTCTTGTAAGCGTTCATTAAGAAGATTTTCACTGTTGTTGTCGTAACCTCAGTAAGTTGTGATCCGATATTCAGAGGAATCGGTATTGACGACAGCAAGATTCGTGGATCTTTCGGGAGCAACAGTGAAATGAAATCACCCTCTGAAACCATTTGATTCACCAACGCTTTTGATGAACTTGCTAATTTGCATTGATGAAATCTATTTTCAAGAACTGAGGTGATCAAAAAGAGTAGGATTCGGTTAGATCGCGTGTTATACAATCTCATTATACTTCTGGATGAAGCTGACTTGCACGATCCTCAACAATTAAAACTGTTGAGTGAGAATTTAGAGACTGATGAGGAAATCGTATATGATCTGATTCGATTAGAATGTGCCTGAATAATCATGAAACTAACCAAAACGCTCACGGCTTACGACTGCACAATAGCGATCGCCGAGAGCAACTTTAATATAGGACGTTTGTGAAGTTGTATAGCGATAACATCGATGCATTGGTGAGAATGCTGATTCGGATGAGTGAATCTGCAGATATGCATTGAGATAATCCTAGAGTCGAGCTGACAATACCCTATTGGATCAGCTCTTGACACCACAAGACCATAAGACCTTGTTTTCAGATATCCACGATTATCTATCAGCAGATCAAGCTTCTAAACTGATCAATGATTAGGTTGCCGTTGAAATTTGCCTAAAAGTAGAGTTCGCTCCAGATGACAATCAGACGAGACGTGTAAATACCTGGAGAAGTCTTTGTCGCAATGTTTTTTGCGATGAATTATAATCGAGTATGACCAATGTGGTGGAATCCAGTGCATAGACGTATATTAAGTATTCACCGAAATCACAAAGATCAAACACTTGCACGGTTCGTCTCAATTCCATTTCAGTATCAATTATGTTCATATCAAACGAGACTGTCCACTCCGGGTGTGCACCTTCGCTTATCATACGAATCTGAACGAAATCATGCCATATGATTCAGTTTGAATCTGCGCAAATCAGTTTCGAATCTCTAGAATCATTGAGATGGAATTTATTCGAGATATTGCAGTATTGAACATGAATCTTGCTTCTGATGATGTATTGATCTAGGATATTGATCACAGAATCGTTTCTCTTGAAGAAGTTGCATAACTTTATCATTGCTTGATCAAAACGCACGCAATGTTACGAATGCGATATCATATCACTTGTTTTGAATGAGCAAATTGAAACGATCTAGTGGAGGCGATTGAGGATATCAGTGAGTGAAAAGATATGGAATATATCAGGCAGTGACACTGCTTATTCAATACCTTTCGTCCACCAATCACGAATACGATTTTACCATTTGGTGAAACGGCCATTTTCAACGGATCACTCACAAACGATTTGCGATCACATCGTTCATGATAAACCTGAAATGAAGTGGAAGATCAGATAATCAGATGATCACCTCAGTCTTCTTCCGAATAACTCTAATTCCCCGGCGGGGTTTTATCTTACTTGCGGAGAAGAGAGTCCAATGGAAAGTTTACAAGCAAGCTTAAAATTACTCATACTCATATAGGTGGCTAAATGGCTACTTTTCTATGAAGATCTCACGATCAGTCAAATTCTGCAGAATTCTCTTCGGAATTCCTAAAATCCGAGACTAACCTCAGCATAAGGATGGCTTGGATTAGCATAAAATGGCCACATTCCATCTGAAACCACTCAGTCAGTATCTTCACAACAATATTTCGTTGCTGTGAAGCAACCACTCAGTAACAACAACACATAAACAATATATCCAAAATGCTCACCATATCCGATCCTATTTTCAAATCCATTAAAAATTCACTGAAATTTCCATAGCGAAATCAAAATTTTCATGAACCTTCGAACCATTGGAAATCTCCATGTAAAGTCATATCATTTAGTAATTCATTTTCAATTCGGGTAACTTTTTTAAGAATTTGCACGTTAATTATGTTGTACTTCTTTCCAAAAATTTTGATTTGCTGAGCAGATTTTGGATCATGTCTCGGAGAATTTTTGAGATTTCCAAGATGCATTATGTTATAGTTTCTCATTGTTGCAGTCGATCAGCACACACCCTCGTGATGATCATTTCGGGATATTTGCCCATATGGTAACTGCTCATAATCAAAAGCTTATATCTCTAATTGTCTCTCGGTAATATGTGAGGGTGTTATGCTTGTTTGTTGCGTTTGCACGGCTTTTCTAATTGTGCCCTAGTTTCAATTCGCTCGTATTGACGAGATAAACCTAGCTAGAGGCGTGTTTCATGGTCGATACTCCTCTGTATTATTGCTGCTTTTATGACTGAGAATGTGAGCTGTGCGGCGCATTTCGACTTCTTCAAATTGGAGTCTAATTAAGTCGGAACGGAACGTTCACTAAGACTTACGGTGATAAACTTCAACCAGCCAGCTATCTGCACTAGTTTGTGTGCTGCTATACTACGGGCGTTTAGGAATGATGAAATGATGGTTTTTTTTCAAAAAATTCTCTGGTCTTCTTCATTCACTCATCGTCAGTGGCTAATTGCTCGCTTCGTACCATTTGGGACTATGAAACTTTGTTCAGAAATCAATTCAAATTGGATATATTCAGTAGTTTGGACGTATAACTGAGGAATTTGCATTCTGCAAACTAAAAGATACTAGCTTTTTGGCATTTTCACGTTTTCCCACTAGCATAGAAAGTGATACTCGAATAGACTCAACAATATCATTGTTATTCTTTCAGTTTTATCAAATATTCATTCATTTCTGTGTTCATTTGCCATTTTATGTTNTTTTTTCAAAAAATTCTCTGGTCTTCTTCATTCGTTCATCGTCAGTGGCTAATTGCTCGCTTCGTACCATTTGGGACTATGAA